GAAACAGATTTCTCTTTTACGATTTTTTACTTAGGTAATTTAAAGCCAATCGTTGATTGTTCGAAGCTTAGATACTTAAATAAAATATTTCATTGGCTTAGATCAAGGCAAAGTTGCGTGAACACACCAGGCTATAATTATTCAAAAGAGAATAAAGCCAACCATGTGTACAGTGTACAGTCTGATAGCCGTTTACTTCCACCCACTGACGAATCTATAAAAAGTAATTCGTTACAGCGATGTGGTATCTATATTTTAGTCGGAATATAGGGAGCAAGGTAGTACCTTGCAACTTTTAAAGCTCTAAATAATACCATAGTTTGAGATGAAACTAAAATTTTTAAAATTGCTCACCTTTTCATTATCAATCGTATAAAATCAAATGAATTGCGAATTAAAAACTTTTTCATTACTGAGTTACACCGAAGATAGAGTCTATAGTTTTTGTAGAACCATGACCATAGCGAAACGTTAAAACTGCCATGTTGACAGTATGCTGAAATTACAAAGATTGCTTTTCAGCGTTTACAAAATAGTGTATAAAATACCAGGGAGATCATTGATTAAAATAAATGGCACCAAAACGTAACAAGAAGTTTGCTCAGAAGAGACAATCGGACGCTCCCAATGCCCCTGCCACCCGCGACCCGACGGTGCCTGTCGCAGTACCGGCACCGACAACGTCCAAAGACCTAGCACCACCACCACAACCGCCACCACAACTCCCAGGCAAAATCGAACCACAGGAAGAATCCTGCGGAAGACGATGCCTCAAATACCTCTACAACCGAGAGAAACAGACGTTTTGTGACAGAACTTGCAAAAGCTGGATCTATATCGTTGCCTACTCCATAATGTACCTTATATTCCTGACAACCTACATGCTGATATTCCTTTACGCCACCCTCATGATTCTAAAACACACTGACTTCAAGAACGTGGACAAAATTAATCTTCTGACTTACTCTGAATATGGGATTGGATTGACTGCTACTCCCACTTCAGAGAGCAGTTATCCCTTGATATGGTACAGAAGTCACGAAAGTGGAGACTATGAGAAGTACGTTAAGTCGATAGATAAGTTATTTTTAAGTAGAAAAACGAGGGACGTGCAGTCAAGTTTAGGTCAATGCGGTCAATCGCCCTACGGGTATGGCAGTTCACCGTGTGTTATAGTAAGAATTAATAAACAATTGAAATGGACTGGGAAGGCTTTGAATCCCAACTCAACTCTAGCTGCAAATGCTCCGAAAGAAGTTCAGGATTGGCTGAAATCTGAAAAGCGGATGATGTGGTTGCATTGTAGAGGTTATCACCCGTACGATAGAGAGCACATTGGCAGTATACGTTACTTCCCGTATCCTCCAGGTTTTGATCCAGCTTTATTTCCCCTGGATGTCCGGAATGATCCTCCACTGGTTGCTGTGCAGATATTGAATGTAGAACATGGGGTCTCCTTGGCCGTAGAATGCAAGCTTTGGCACGAACACGGCCCATCGTCTGTGGAGTTTGTCTTATACGTTGAACAAGAGCAGAACAAAACACATTTGAGAAGTAGTGATATTAGAAAATAGGTCATTGAAAGTTGTTTTTAATTAAAGTGTTCTGTAAATTACTTTGATTTTATTTTAAAATAGATTTTCGTTCAGAAGAAGGATGTTGAATTCAATTTGCAAAACAGAAATGGTCAATAAATGTAAATGGTTCTTTTTATTATGCTTTAAAAGTAGTAACAATGTAATGACTGGTGTGCCACATTAAAAATTAACGGCCTGTAAAATGGGGTTGGAAACTCGGTTCTATTTCAAGTAGTTTAACGAGCATTCGTGATCAGACTATAGTTAACGCGATGTAAGCAAACCATTTTCAGCCCACCAGATGTCGCTTAGTCAGCTCTTAAAATTTTGTTTCATTAGGAAGTGCTTCTTATGTTAATAGGATAATGGGACAACCGACCAAGAGCCAGTGATCATACATAAATTGTCTAATGATAGAAATCAATCATCATTTCTATGAATGGTCAAATAAAAACTGAATAAACTTCAATAATTTTATCGGCTCTACTCTACATTTTTTTTTTTGTTCGAATGAACATTTTTTAAGTAAAGTGTACTCTTGAATAAGCACTGTTTATTGAATTTGAATAGGAATTTTTTCAATAAAATAACATTATATAACTTACGAATAGCTATTGACATTTTATATGTTTGTTTTTCTTTTATTGTTACACCCTTTTTCTCTAGTATTTACGTTAACGTTGATAAGACACGGAAAATCCATTACTTGGGGGAAACGCATAAAGTGTTTGTGTCTTAAGTACCCAGTAGTAATGTTGAATGTGACCCGATTTCTTTCTTAATTGATATGCAGTTTGTGTTATAACACAGATAACAATGAAGTTAAAAATATAACGATGTTAGTTATTTTGATAAAATACATAGTAAGTTGGTAATATAAAGATGTAGAAAAAACTTGAACGAATCCTCAAATGATTTGAAGCAAATTGAATCGATATTTATTCTCTTTTTATGAGAAGGCCACATAAGCAATAAATGTTTGAAATTCGTACATGCGGTTAGAGAAAAGAATGATAAAACGAGATTCATTCAAGAGAATCGAACTGAAATTGTCAGCGAGGCTTGATTAAACGAAGAGAGGTAAAACGAGTTTTTGGGAAAGGCCTACCTATTTTGTTTTTCACACTCTTGTTCTTAACAAGATCTGAATCATTATGTACTCAGTTCTGTAGTGAACAATTCCATTGATTTTCTAAAACAAAGTATTGTGACAAATTACTTACCTAGGACCTAACAGGTACTACTTAAGTGATTGGTTGTTAGAGTTTAAAGCTCTCTAGGGAGTGTCTCTACTTTTGTATGTCTGATGGTCAAGCTGATATAGTGTAAGGCGGTTATCACACTGCGCCGCGCTCCGCCGCGGAGCGCGTGATTTCATATAAAAAATCACGCGCGCAGACGCGTTGTCAGTGTGAAGTGCCGCGCGTGTTTTCTATACAAACTGAGGTACTTGCATTTACTTGTACTTGCGGCGAAGCGCGGCGCAGTGTGATAACCACCTAAAGTTAATTCTGTTAATTAATCTGGGAATTGATCCGTCCGACAATGGCCACGGAGTAACAATACGACCCTCTGTGGGCTTACCGATTCTTTCGCTCTCCACAATTAGAGGAGAAATGAAAACGAGTTAATTCAGTGAATACGTTGAAAAAAGCTTTATATAAAGCTTAAGAAAAAAAAGCTTAAGGCGTAATATCCACATTTGAATTTTGAGTTTTTTTGCCAGGCAATAGTCGGAAGTGACTTAGTTTCCTAAATGAATGTTTATTACTAACTTTAAATAAGCTCTTCCTACCTTGTCGTACAAGTTTTGAACCCTCGACCGCGAGCTATTAAAAACTATACCAGTCTGGCCTAGTTTTACTGAAGAGTAAAATGGGGTTAATAGAGAAGGTATTTCATTTCTTAGCCAATGACTTCAAAATCTGAAATAAGGAAAGCAAAAACAATCAAAATTGTCAAAGAGCCAAGAATATCAAGTTTATTCAACGCTGAAAACTGAAAATGTAATAGCAAATTCTAAAAGGGCTAAATAGTCCTGAAATAGTAGGTAAGTCGATATAGTTCACAGCCTGAAATAAGTACCTACCTTCCCTTTATATGAAACTGAAACCTTCTCCGTAGGTATTTTAGTAGGTATAAGTTACTGACAACTGAAAATTTATCTAATTTGACAAAATTCTAACGTTCGTATTCACAGACATTGAGGACAGTCTATGAGGTCTCACAGTGCGCGTGGACACACAGGGTTACACACGAACCAATCACAGAGGTCTATTTAATGCTGTGCGTTCGATTGGTTGCTTCACTTAATTTAGTTTGTGAATACGGGTGTAAAGCAACTAAGAGCTTATGGCTGATTATTATTTGACCTTTAGTGTAGGTATAGTTGTTGCAATTCACATGTAAAGCTCAATTGCTTTACATGTGTGGTGGCTCGTTAGGCGGTTATCACACTGCGCCGCGCTCCGCCGCGGAGCGCGGGGCGACAGATTTAATCATTGTATGCAAGTACCTCAGTTTGTATAGAAAACACGCGCGGCACTTCACACTGACAGAGCGTCCGCGCTAGTGATTTTTATATGAAAATCACGCGCTCCGCGGCGGAGCGCGGCGCAGTGTGATAACCGCCTTACTGTTCTTTTTTCAAAAGTTTTGTCTTACGTTACGTTAAGACTACACTATCGTTATGTCCTACACGTACACACACAATTAATGCTCACTCGCCTTTGCGAGTTGCAAGAACTATAATCTATATTTAATCTCGCAAAGCAATAAGCGTCAAAGAGAACGACATTGTTTGGCGCAAGTCGTCCAATTCCCCGCCCCGCGGGGCGTCTCATTCAATTACACTTGTATTAGACATGATCACAGGCCGAGGTCACCGATTACTTACAAGCGCTTTCCTCTATTATAGGTTTTTCTAATTTGATAAATGTACTCGTAGTTAATACAATACTATGTCTTTTCGAATGCTGATATTGCTGAGGAAACGTCGGAGTCGGATAGAGAATTGGACTCTCAGATATTAATAAGAGTAACATTAAAATAAATAGGTACCTTTGTATTTATAAGTTGGTACCAGGTTGATTGGGAAATCGTAAGGATCTTTGGAAGGAAAATTGACTTCAAAGGAAAAGTCTTGATAGTGCAAAAATGTAATTTGCTAAGTCTATTGCTGGAGATGTTTATGAGTTTAAAAGAAAGTTAAGGTATATTTCAAGATGTGTTAAATAATAATGTTTAATAATAAGCTATGTTTCAAGAGGTTGTTTATTGCATTACCAAGTCTGAAATGCTACAAATGTAGGTAGGGGTAGCTAAGATACTAAATTGTAGAGTCATTTACTGTATTATTTATGCAATGAAACAAATTTCAATTTACGTAATAATTTATTGATACGCTAATAATTCAATGATTACCTATTTATTCCACACTATTTAGTAGATTTGTTAAAGTAGTGAAGACAAAATCGTTCCTTGTCCCCATCCCTCAAAGAATTACTCCACAAATTCGCTTACTTGCTTTGTTCGCTTCAATAAATATTATTTACAGCTTTATCACGATTAATTTACCCCTTCAAACTTTGCCAAAAATATACTTCTTTATATTAGTGCCGCTTTAAGATCTATTATAATAAATAACATCAAGCGTAGGGTTTGTCACATGGTGTAAGTAGGTATACCTACTAACCTTTTTCATTAGAGGATACCTTTGGTCATTGAGAACACTCTTCGCAAGACGCATTTGTATCAGGAACAACGGGATTAAAACTTACAATGATCCGTATTTTCAAATCGATATACTAGGTATCCCTTTTGCCCATAACGAAATTTGGACGTTCTTATGCTCGTTTTCACACTCAATCCCTAATTTTTAAGTGACCCCTATGAAAACAAAATTCCTGTTATGTTACCATAGGGGTCACTTAATTTGGGATTGATAGTGAAAACGGGCATCAGATACCTAGAGTAATAGACAATGCCGAAAATACTGATCAATATAGTTAATAATCCCGTAGACTGTAGCGGCACTCTTTTATAACAAAAATAAATATTATTTATGTTTCAAAACAAAGTTTGAAAGGATGTTTCAAAGAAATCATAATCATTATATTTGGACCGAATGTTATTTTAATCGTAATTTAACATGACAACATAAATGACAACAACGATAAACAATTTAATTTCAAACATGATAATTGATTTATTTTAATTTTAAACAAATTTTAAATATCGAAAGCAGTTGCAAAGTAAAATATTTTTAAAATGTATTTGTATAGATATTTAATAAGGATATTGGTTATGTAAATAATCCATTCATTGGCACTTGCTATGTCTATCACAATAGGACCTTGCTGAGGAGTTAGTCTATCTTAAGATTCAATTTATAGGTCGTATAAGAACTATTACTGAGACAGTAGACAAATAATGAGCGTAGGTTCTCAAGTAATCAATCACCAACTAACCCAAAAAATATTGCTAAACTAGACTCAAAACTAACAAACAGTTGATAAGAAACCTGTAAATATTTGTCGTTAACACGGTACACCTTTAACCAATTTAGGAACATCCCTTTAACCTATGCAAGTAACTGATTCTTGAATACTTACACTCACTGAAATATCGTAATTAGAAAGGCAAGTCACTACTCTTGTGTATCTTACCAAAAATACAGATATTCTTGAAGGTATTAAAGAAGGTAAATTTAATGAGACTTTACTTATTATGAAACATTAACAAGCATCTATTAAATCTATAGACCTATAACTTGAAATAGCTATAGAAATGGAAAATCTGCGTAACAGTTATTTTATACAACGGTTTAGTTAAATTATATTTATGATCGTTCAATTGACTGCGATACTGTAAGCTACGTTGTAGAAGCTGTATTAGTTTAGTGATAATTTGCTATACAATTCCCGTTCAGGTCAGCAATACTCATTGTAGGCTTTATCAAAAATAGAAGGATTAGAGTAATATTATATCACAAAATATATACATTGTTTCAACGACATCCTTTCGTTTTCAATGTCAAACATGGAACTTGTAATATAGTAACTGTAGTCGATATAAGTGGTTTGCATCATACCTATGACATTGAAAACAAAAGTGAACTTGTAGGCCTGCTACCACAATCGAACTGGACCACTGAAGAAGAGGTAATTGAATTTACTCATTAGATAATAACTTCAAGCTACAACATGCATATTGTTCCGAAACAAAACGATTAACATATAGAAACAGCTAGCGTGCAAAAGTGTTAAAAGATCTTGCGAACCTCATCGTACGACTACACAATATTGCTTAAAAAAAACTTAATGTTCATAAATTAACAGTCATTTTTATTTGAACACCAAAAGGTGAGATTGTAGTCGTCCGTTCGCAAAAATAAAAACAGAAAAAACTATTGCAGAAGCAGACAAAAAAATATATTTAAATAAGCCACTTCGGATACCATACAATACAAACAACTCTTATAATAAGTATACCAGCGAAATAGCTCTGAAATACTTAAATTCAGTCAATACATCCCTAATTTATACGTACAATGACAATGTATATGATACAGCATGCTTTGTAGATAGAAACAGCTACTGACACATCAATAGATATATGTAATAAAATATGTTTTCAACGAGTTAACCAGATAGAATTTGTAAACAGCTAAACAATGAAAATATTAGAGCCTAATTAGTAAATAGGATCAAGCGTCATAAAGTTAACCATTATTAGTGTGATATTTGGAATGGAAAACTTTTTTGTACATTTTTTGATACTAATTTTGTATGCCCACACATTGTTAGATTTTTGATAATAATATTCAGTTTTCGTTCGAATTGACGTTGAACTTCAGTCAAAAAGCCGGTCCTTTTCCAACTGCGACCTTTAGAGAGCCATAAGATATGGGCGGGGCCATTAGACCTGATTACCTGACAAAATCGGACAATGTGTGACTCTAAATAGGTTCTATAATGATTACTAATAAAGGCGACGAGAAAAGACGAAGAAAGTAAGGATAAAAATACAGAATCGTTAAGATGATGTTGTACATTTACATCTAGATTTCTATAAGACAAACAAATATCCTATAAATAACATTATTAACCTTAAATGGACGAACACATCATTCGAGCGACAGTCTAACTAAATAGACTTTTATCGTAATTAAGTCATTGCTTTCATGTGAACTTATCTTAACACTGACGTAAATGCAACACCTAAGACACATTTAAGTGCACTTCCACACTAATGATGATCGATCGACGCACCTTTGGACTTTATTTTTCATAAATAAGAAAAAACACAAAAGGCTGTGCACGAAACGCGTATAAAATAAACCTTAAATCTACACACGCGAAACCAATAACAAACATTACGGAATAAAATTATTAAAATATTTAAAACGTTTCTAGAATCAATCCCTTGAGATCACTCTCCTCCATTTAAACGGTAAATCACAATTTAGTAGGCTTCACTAGATTACTCAACCACTTAATATAAAAGTCACTGATTCTTGCATATCCTCACTTGATGCCTTTGGGCAACTTTGTCCATCACTATTACTATGACTTGGCTTTAAGGTATACCTCAAGAGATTTTTGAATGCAGTTTAGGCCACTTAAACAGGTACAATACTTAATATTCCATTCCGATAATCTCACTCCTTACTTGGCGTTATTTATCAGATGATACTCTATTTTTGACTGGTCTATTTACACCTGTACACGTCAGTATACATGTATGAACAAGATGGCACCAATTTTCCAATTCATAAACCCAATAGGATCTTAAATCCTCGAAAATCGTCTAAAATTGGTACACTCTTGCTAAAATTCGGTAGAACTCTTCGTAAACCCCAAGCATCCAAAACAACCCTCAAATGTACAGGTACGTTAAAAACGACATTCCTATAATAATGTACAAGTTGGGTGAACTGAAAAATCCTTTGTTATAACTGCAGTCCAGGTCTCTTTGCATAACCTGAAACCAAATGGAAAAATTATATCAATGCCTTCCTACGATTACCTGATGTCGTTGGTCGCGTAANTCGCGTAACTATCCTTAAAAATTATAATACTTACATCAACGAGAGTTCTGTTATCATTTAGCGGGCATGACGCAAACCTGACGTCGTCTCTAGTTGCGACGCAGTTAAATGGACTGTTACATAAGTACTGTCTTCGTTTCCTGTCCCATGCTTCAATCCATCTGAAAATACATCAATGATTTGAGTATAAGCTCAAGTCTTCAATGTCAATTCCAAAAGTGCCTGTCTCTCTTCTTACCCAATTCCACAATCACAAATCAGGGGGTTCCCTGATATTAATATGTCATGGAGGAACATATTGTTGGGCACCCCAGGCCAGTCTTTCTGGGCGGGGTTGGAGACCTTCGTAATGTAGTTGGAGCGAAGGTCCAGGGTCAAGTTTCTGATGCGACCTGGCTTCCAGAAGGTTTGACTCTCGATTTCTTCTATACTCGTGTTGAAGACAGTAAGCCGTAGCACTTTGGAGTGAACACCCTGGGAAAACATGAAATGATAGTAGTCACAAATATAGAAGACGATAAAGTAAGAGATAATACATAAGCTTAAATGAACTGATTATGATGATGCTGTTAATGGAATCGTGGAAAGATAGGATGGAATACTTACAAACAACAGATAAGGAGCTAGCGACACCAAAGACCGTCCAGTGATGGTGATGTTATTCAGCTTGCAAGGTAACGCCGCGCTCATCTGCTGTCCAAACTCTGGACTGTACTCCACGTCTACGTATAAGTTTTCTAACGCCGCGTTATAAGCCAGCATTCGGGGGACGTTGAATTCTCTCAAATCGGGGGAGGTTGAAATCTTTAGGGTTCGTAGAGCGTACATCTTGCCGAATACTCCGTGCTGAAATTTGAATGAGAACAATAAAGTTTAGGCTGATTGATCGCGAGCTAGAGGATCTATAATAATTTGCATTTTTAGAAATGCAGTCACAATTGAAAAATTCTTCAAAAATGCAAAGATGTTACTCACCTCCAGAATTCTTAACTTCAGCTTGGTCACGTCGAGGTATTCCAGCCGTGAGGATACTCCATAAAGGCTGTTATTCATGAGTGCCGTGACGGGGTTGCCAGATAGCGACAACCATCGAAGGTCGTTGAGAGATTGTACAGCCTAAAATAATAGTAATATGAGGATCATAACCATTAGTACTATTAATTCAGCTATAAAAATTCATGGCGAAATGTTCACATTACTTACCACTGGCACTGTGGTTAGGTCGTTGTATGATAGATCAATTTTCCTCAAACCGGTCAGGTTTGCTGTGGTATCCAACGGGATCGTTGGCAAATTGTTGTATGATAGATCTAAGCTCTTTAGTTTTGTCAGAAGCATGGATGGCACCTAAAAATGAAGATCACATATAAGACAAAAGGCACAGTGAATACAGCTGCTGATTTTGAAAGAAGCAAATTAATGCTTCTTTTGCAATTGCAAAATTTTGTATACTTCCACACATACCAAAAATTTACAAATATCCACGGCTAGTTATGGTCACCAGTAAAACATTACCTTTAAAGAAGCTAGTTTTGATAAATAACTTACAGTGGTAAGGCTGACGTTCTTCAGTCCCAAATGGAAGAGTCTCCTCTCCAGACCCTTGAAGACGCTCACTCCTCGCTCCCCACTGTTGAAAGGCGAGTTGTTGCTGAGGTCCAGCCAGCGCAGCTTGGGCAGCACCGAGAAAGTGTTGCCTTCGATTCGGACCAAGTGGTTGTCGGAGAGGTCCAAGCTCAGTAAAGACTGAAATAGATTGAAGTCTTGAGTCCAAAACCAAAATTAAACTTACCTAACGTTTTGTACTCAAAATGAAGAACCTACATAGAGTAAGTTACATGATTAAAAATGATAAGTAGGTAATCTTAAAGTACCTAACAGACAAAATCATTCATTCAGAATTTTGAGAAATCTATAAATCATAAAAGTTGCTTAATGCTGAAATGTTAGTGTCAAATCAAAAAACAACAAACAAAACGGATGCAATATAAAACAACAAAAATGCAGCTAACTACAGTAAAACTCGAAGGAAATCTACAGGATGACAAAGTTGAATGTAGACGCCAGTTCAAGGAAATTATAATTTTTCAGAAAGTTGCCAACATTCCTCATTAGCCTCTGATATTTCAGTTTGGTAAAAAAAATACAGAAATACGTGAACTAGAGTTTCAAATTTATGTAAATTATAATTCACGCTTCCATTCTCTAAGCATTGCCCTGTCTCTATACTAAACCAGCGTCTACACCGTCCACAACCTACCTTATACAGCGAGTTCTGGTGGTACTGTTTTTTTTGGTGGTACACCCTCGTGTGGTCCCGTCTTGCAGTATGGTACATGTACTCGTCGCTGTAGTCCGGCTCCTCCTGCCAGTCGCTCTGGTCAGTCTGACGGACATGCACAATTAGCTACTACGCTGGCACTACGGTTAGTTGGCACACGGGGTCATAGACTAAGTGGTTTGGATGAGGACAAGGTAGTAGGGTAGCTAATCAATTTATTGTTCGGTTATGTACACATTTTTTATGGAAATCAACTTTCATCTCTTTCTCTACATTTATTTTCAATCGCATCACGGCGCTCTTGGGATAATGCCGCGACGCTCCAGGGTTTAACGATAAACAGTGGAAAGCCCTGACTTAGTCTATAACAAAATATTAGGGTATGGGTACTTCAATATCACTTTAAATCAGGTACCTATTTACACTGAAAAAACACGTCACAAGTCAAGCAGTTAGTATCAAACTCAGGGTTACCCTGGTGAAAGCTTCACTCAAAGCCGTGTGGTAAAAACAAGGGTACATAGGAATCCTTATAAAATAATATTTTTGTCATTATGTAGAAGCCTTAATAAGGCCACACTACTAAGCTGGGTGCTTGTGTAATTTACAAAATAATTAATAACATTTCAAATGTAACAAAGTAGCTTCATTAATAGACCGAATGTTCCGTTATGATGATAAATAACCTAAATAACAGCTACACGGTTTCCCAATGATCCACCCAAATAAAGGTGGCCATGATCACAATTATTTGGATGTAGGCATGAAAATTGGACTGGTAGTTCAAATTTTGATAGAGCAATTTTTGCTAAAGTTTGACACCCATTTGCTGTAGTGTGGCCTTAGTTTTTAGTACATGACTTACCCGATATCTCTGGACGAAGTCAGCCATGGAGATGGCTGGGATGGTGTTACCACTCAAGTCTAGCTCCACGAGGTTAGCTGCGGTGGACGGAGAGAAGCAGTTGGTGGGCACCCGCGATAGGTAGTTGTTGGAGAGATCAAGTCTAGAAATGGTTAAAATTTGATATTAAAGTCGCTTCATAAAGTTGGTTTAAAGGCTGAGCTAGACCCAGATAATTATTTCAGTATTGGCTCAGAAAAAGAAAGAAACCAACAAACACTAAATCCGATCCATGACCTTTTGATATCAGCTCAATCCAACACTATTGGGTAATCAAGACAGTAAGAGCGCTTGTAGACGTCCGTTTTTTTGACCGGACAACGGACCGATTTTTTCACCGGATTTAGCAGTGGCGTATGGTTTATAATGAACGTGTGCATGCATCGGACATGGGTCCGGCGAGAAAATTGACAGCAAACAAAGGATATCCGTTTTTTGACGGTCCGTCGTCCGGTGAAAAAACGGACGTCTACAAGCGCTCTAAGGTGTCCTATGAAACATTGTTTCACGAAAAATTTGAAAACACTAAACACTTCCCTGACTTTGTATGATCTGTAAAACTATGAGTTAAAAGACGAAAGACTTACCTCTCCAAAAGGGGTGAAACAATCAGATTATCTGCCAAATTTCTGATACGGTTGTTTGAAAGGTCCAAAGAAATCAAAGATGGCATCTCGTGGAAAACTTGCACGGGTAATTCAGTCAAGTAGTTGTGGGATAAATCTATTATCTGAAACAAACAATATTTACTTTAAATTCGTGAAGCCCAGAATAAAATTCTTATTCAATTTCAAATTTAACAGTTTCNAAAAGTTTAAAGTTACCTGTAATGCTTTGGCTCGAGCAAAGCAATCGTATTCCATGTGATAGATCTGATTATGTGAAAGGTCCAAATACTGTAGGGCTGCCAAAGAACCGAACACATCCCTTGTAATATTTCTTAACAGGTTGTGAGAAAGGTACAATTCGGCCAGAGTAAAATCTGCATGTCTGTAAGATAGAAAAACCGGGTCAATCAATTAATTTACACGATAAAAATATGTAATCTCTGGCTATGTAGAAAGGGAAAACAAATAGAGAACAATAATTGAAGACCATTATAATAATAAGCATTAAAAATCACCTGAAGTAATAAGGAGCGATTTCAGATATATTGTTGTGAGAGAAATCCATCACTCTGATGTTTACAGACACTATCCCGAGACCTGAAACAAGATATTGTTATTTAGTTTTTCAAAAGTATTAAAAATATTTTATACATACAGATAGACGATGATCGTTAAAAACAGGACGGACAAAATAAATAACAAAGTCACCTTCTGCCATAGAAATATCTTCGTCAGATATTAGGCCTGCGTGTGTAGCAAAACAAAAAAGAATCAACAATGAATAAATAAATCAAACAAAATAAGAAACTAAGAAGAAGAAATAAAAAGATGATGTCACCTTCAGTTACGTGAGGCTCATCTTCAGATACTAATCCTGATTAGAAGAAGCAGAAAGAAATAAACAGATAAAATATTGAGAAATAAACGAAATCATTAAAAATATAAAAACAAAACAAAAGCCCAATCTTTATCACCTTCTGGCTCAAGAGGTGTTTCTTCAGTGACTAATCCTGTTAAAGCAGAAGCAAAAAAGCAGACGAAGAAAATATTAATAAAACAAAATTTTCTTCCACATAAGTAGACTAAGTAATGGGTACTAAATATTTTTATACTCACTTTGCACTTTCGGTTGGTAAAACTCAGAGCTGTATAGGAAACTGTGTGCATTAGAGTCCCTCAGGGAAACCATTCTGTTATGAGAAACGTTTACTTTGAGAGCAGCGGCCGAACCGACTTGGTCAAAGATTGAGAATCTAAATGTGTTAAGTTGGTTAAACGAGATGTCCAATCTGAAAAAAGAAAAATTAAGAGATACATAGTTAATATTATCTGAAACGAGGATAAGAGCGCTAAACTTTGGAATTTTAAGTGCTTAAAGGAAGTTAAAACTTAAGCACCATTCAGTGGTTTCGAGGAAAAAAATACTGCCAAATTATCCGGCTCGAAGGTCCAATAAAATTTGCTATACGTACTCATTCAAAGCCGGAATATTCTGGAAGGCTTCATCAAAGATCTCGTAAATTCTGTTCCCTTTCAGTTTGATCACTTTGACATTGTCCAAGCTGGTAAATGCTCGCCTCTGAATCGATTCTATCAAGTTGTCTTCTATTAGGATTTCTTGTAGTTCTTTCAGCTCCACAAACGTGTGTTGAACTATTTGGTTCATTTGGTTCAGGGATAAACAAATGCTTTGTAGCTGGTGGTGAATGTCACCCTTTAAAAAAAGAAAAATATAATTTAGTAATGAGTACATTTTAATGTAAAACTTAGATAATGGAAGCAACAGTTTCACAGTTTATCCTAAAGCAATTAGTATTTAACTTAGATTTTACCTGAAGTGTTCCTTTGGAAAAGTGGTCAATAGCATTGTCCTGAAGGTTCAGAGACTTCAACTTGTACAAGAAGTGGAAAGAGGTATCTGGAACGTTCTTCAGCTTGTTGTTACTTAGGTCCAAATGCTGTAGCTCTATGAGAGCTTTTAGAGGCTCGAAAGGCAGAATCTTTACTGTTTCCGCTAGACCATTAGCCAATTTTAAAGTTGTGAGGCTGTGTAGCTGCAAAAAGAACGCATCAATGAAGGCCATCGTTTTTATACTTAACAGTTGGCACCATCTACTACATCTACATTACTCTACAGTGGCGCCATCTTGATGAGTGCAAATACGATAGTCCTCCTACCACTTTAGCGCTCACAAGTTGGCGCCACTGTCTTCGCTACTAGCAAGTGACAGGACCTTACTCTACAGTGGCGCTAACTGGTGAAGGCTAAAACGATAGCCCTCATTGTAACATTGCCTATGATGTGTGTAATAAATGATAACATCGTTGAAAAGTGGAGGATGGAAAAGAAGTGGTAAGGAAAAGTATATTTACCTATAATAGACAAAAATATCAATTTTTGCGCGACTTTGAAATTAAGTACCACTTGCATGATCCTGCATGATCATTATTAAAATATCATTCTGTTCACGTATCTAATAAGAAAGCCTTTATGCATTGTTTGGCATTCAGGACCACTATTGGCGGCTTGGAATTACGATAAGGAGACATGTAAAGTGCCCCATAAGGGCTACCTTTTCTTTTTTTACTATTTACATTTTGACGTTCATAAGTGCTACTTGTGCTCTAAACTGAATAAATATTTTTGATTTTTGATTATTCTTCTCCTTCTGATCTACGCACACTCACCTCAGCAAAAGCGAAAGGATCAATGAAGTCAATCTCGTTCTCCGATAAGTCCAAGGTCTTGATAGTCCGGACATGCTGGAAAGCACTCGACTCGATGCGATTGATGGTGCTCCCATACACCTTCAGGTCTTCCAGGTCCACACCGAAGTCGAGGAAGTCTTCAGCGCGTATGCTCTTTCTGATCAACTTGCCTACTGATAGGTATCGGAGGGAGCGCATTCTGAAGAAAAAACATGCCATCGAATTGAGAACCTTCTCCTTTTTTGAAGTTAGTTAATAGAATAGTTACATCTAAATTGGGTGATGAAAAACCAATTTGATAAAGGAGATAAAGGTAGGTAAAAGGAGGTGATAACTAGTCGAATTTTTCAAGTGAAATTCATAGCATCCAGTTCGGGGTGATTGATAAGTATTAAAAGTCTTAAATTCGATTTCAAAGTTTAATAAGGTGTAAAAAGGCGAAATTAAGTCGTTGCAAACTTTTACCGATTAAATTAGTAGAGCTCTGTCGGTGCACAAAAGCAAGGAACTACATGAAAGAAAATATTTTTTACTAGAATACTTTGCTTACCTTCTCACATCTTGTAAGCTCATCTCTATCGAGGAAGCGCCACTGACGTCCAATGAGAACAGCTTGTGTTGGAAGTTGTTGTATGACGTCACTTCGTATTCGGTGGGGGTATTCGTCGCCAAGGTGTTGATATCGACCTGTAAGATGATTTAGTTTATAATGATCATCATGCTTGTCAATGATATGCTTTAAAGTAAGTATAATAATGTAGGGTAAAGTAGTCAATAAGTTTGCAACACGTTTTTGTTACAATTGAAATAAGTTATCATTTTGGGTGTCACGTGTCACGAACTATTTGACGCTGGTTGTTCCTAGACCAGGTACATAATCAGTAAAAGGAGTAATTAGCATGTCCTTAGTTTTAATAATTTAGGTTCACATAGTAACCAGATAACTATGTTTTATGCATACTCCTAGTATAGTCCAAGTAAATTAGAGAAAGTAAATACATTCAACAGTGTATCAGACCAATCTATTAAAATTCTATATGATAGCACAGACTTGCTTAACCTTTTGTATGCATGTCTGACTTTCGTATTGTTGTATGGAATCTCGGCATACGACTGCTTAACCCCTTGAATATCAATGAGAAGAAGGACAAAGAGGCAAAATCTCAAATGTTGCTCGTCTGTGCAACTTTACCTTGTTCTCCCTCAGGTTCAAGAACCTTAATGAGTCGAGTTTGTTCAGCATGAACTTGGATATCATCGTCAGATTGTTCTCGGACAAGTCCAGGCTCTGCAGACTGTTCTCCAGGCCAGCGAACGCTGCGGGAGACAGGTCCCAGATGCCACAGTCGCGGAGAGAGAGGATCTTGATTTTGGCATTGCGAAATGCATCTTCCTGTAAAGAGTATAAAGCTTATTTTCAATTAAGGTACAAATTATTAAATACAATACACAAGGTATTGCTAAGATTTTTTGATTGTTAACAAACAAACATAAATAAGATATTTTTTGTAAGAAAAATATAACGGTGTTTTGGCGTCATGGTAAAATCACTACTATCAAACAACTAACTATAAATTAACGCTACTACTAACTTAGTTTTCCGACAGTCAAATTTAGAAATGATACTTGTGTATCTAGTGGAACATTAAGTGGTCGCTTGAAATTGATTTCTATTGTGTTTCGCCTTACTGGTAGGTACTTGAAGGGGCTACTACAGTTTTATCAAAATTGTACATATTTAACTTCAAATTACTTTAATAATGGAATTAACTATTTCTTACCCTTAGAACATGAATTGGATTCCCATCCAAAGAAGTGGAGTTTAATACTTGAAAGTTTTTGAAAGATCCTGGGTGAAGTTCTGTAATGACATTGTTGTCCAACCTGAAAAAATCAAAAAGAACAATAAATGTATCATCTTGGGTAAAATAAATGACATTTTCGGTTAGTTAGCACTGTGGAAAGTGGTAATGAAAATTAATGTGACATGGAAATTGCTACGTGAAAAAATAAATATGCGCAAACAAAAGACGTTCGCTAAAGTCTTTTAAATATTTTTTTAAAAGGATTCTTAGCGGCTAGGCGCTGTCGAAAACTCGAAAGAGGGTGAAACTGTTTTTTACTGATCAATTGGTAAATTACAGACTCTGTTTTGGTGTAATTAAATTAAGCCTTATTTCTCCACATACGCACACTTCTTACACACAACTTTATCTTGAAAAGTGTAACTACTTAACTATAATCTAAAAGAAGAAAGTTCGGTTTGCTTTAACTTAGTAACTAAATAGTATTCAAGTTCTTCAACGCGGTTTATACCGGAGACACACAGAGACATGATGATGCTACTTACTTCAGTATATCCAGAGACAGCCTGGTGGGAGTTTCGTGCACTGGAGGCACTTGTTTGATGACGTTGTTTGACAGGTCCAGCACTCGTAGTTGCCTTAGAGGCGACACTTCCTCGTAGGGTATGAAGGTCAGCTGATTGTCGCCAAGTAGCAACTGAAAAAAAAGAGACATAATATTAGTGTAATTTTGTTTTGAGATTCTTATGCTGTTGGTAAATAAGTATCCTAGAATTTTTATTTAAGAAAATGAGAAATTGATAATTATTTTTACTGTACTCCAATTGTTGTGAGAGATTTTCAAATAACTAACTATGTATTATCTAGCAATAAATAATTGAATTGCTTTTGCTTTGAAACGCAGGGATTTTAAGTATCTACTAATTACCTAATTAGTTTATCCAGTTACCGCAGAATTCTTCCCTTGATGAGACAACTTAAACAAACTTTATGTTGATAAATTTTGCAAATATAACAACCAAATACTAACCTTGTTGAGTCTGTTCATGCCGTCCCTAAACACGCCTCCGTCGACCGACGCCAGGTGGTTCCCCCGAAGGTCGAGCGTCTCCAGCATGAGAAGACTTGAGAACGCATCGATGGGCAGGTTGGCTATTGAGTTGTCGGCTAGGATCAAAGTCTGCAGCGTGCCTAAACTCCAGTCGTTGCTCGATATGTCTGTTATTTCGTTACCTGGAATGTAGTAAATCGTTTCTGTTAGCAAACGAAAGTGCTTTAAATTGAAATAGAATTACGAGTAACTGTAAGCTACATTATGATTTTCGTAATAACCATTTATAAAACGTTCATAAAACTTATTAAACAGCATGTCTGTAAGGAATCTCATCATAATGCTCATCGCAATAGGATTGGATATGTACGAGTATGTATAAGGAATATGTGCTTAAGAAATGTGGAATAAAAACTAGTCACATAACTTATATTATATGAATTGTGTAACCTCCGGAAGTCTGGATCTTCATCACATCTAGTTTTTCCGTAATATACCACTATACCAATAGATGGTTTAGATAAGTACCTACCTAGTTACTCAAGCGAAAATGTCATTACATTCTCACACACAACCGTAGCACTTTGGTATCAAACTACCAGACTGAGGGCTGATATTTCAATCATCAGATAACTTTTAACTGAAGAATAAGTTTGGCACATTGACAGTTTCAGTATGAGAAGTATGTCAAAATGACAAGTTTAAAGATAGGTAGGTCTGACGATTGAAAAATTAGCCCTGAAACATGGCCCTGAAAGAAATAAAACATAACCGCTTAGGTGCACTCTAAATATATTTGTTAGCGACGNCATTCTATCTAATGCACATTTTGGACTAATCTCCACATGTTATGTCATGTAGCATGTGGCGCGGGGTTATAGATTAATTTTATTAAATATTATACTACCTGTGCTTCCGACCTTGTCCCATTTTTACAACATTTGTCTTTACTGCTCCGCCCCTATTTGTTTTAGGGTGATGTTATTTATCCTAAAACCATCCTTGATAAATGGGCTATCCATAACAAAAAGATTTTTTCAAATCGGACCAGTAGTTCCTGAGATTAGCGCGTAAACTACTACAATTTTTCAAACAGTCATAATTTTTTACTGACAGCTTATTTTTTTTTCGTCCCATACTGAAAGTTAATCTCTATTTAATGGACTATAAGCTAATATAGATCTCATTAGTGGTGGACATTTGGACCACTTTTGGTCATTGTCCTTTGGTAGAGAAGATAAAGGCGTGTAAAAGGAGGTGATAACTAGTCTTCTTTTTCAAGTGAAATTCATAGCATCCAGTTCGGGGTGATTGATATTAAAAGTCTTAAGTTCGATTTCAAAGTTTAATAAGGTGTAAAAAGGCGAAATTAAGTCGTTGCAAACTTTTACCGATTAAATTAGTAGAGCTCTGTCGGTGCACAAAAGCAAGGAACTACATGAAAGAAAATATTTTTTACTAGAATGTTTTGTTTACCTTCTCACATCTTGTAAGCTCATCTCTATCGAGGAGGCGCCACTGACGTCCAAAGAGAACAGCTTGTGTTGGAAGTTGTTGTATGACGTCACTTCGTACTCGGTGGGGGTATTAGTCGCCAAGGTGTTGATATCGACCTGTAAGATGTTATTAGTTTATAATGATCACCATGCTCTATGATTTATCAATGTGATGCTCCATAGTATAATAATGTAGGGTACAGTCAGCGTTAAATAGTTCGTGACACCCATAGTAGTCAAAAAGTTCGCAACACGTTTTTGTTACAATGAGGGTTTTCGCGAATGAAAAATCCGCCAGATGGCAATACGTAGACGCGAGGTCCAAATGCTGCGTGATTGGTTATTTTTGACATGACATTGACAGATATGTCAAAATCCACCAATCACGCAGCAGTCAGACCCCACATCCACGTCCCGCCATCTAGCGGATCTTTCATTCGCGAAAACCCTCATTGAAATAAGTTCTCATTTTGGGTGTCACATAGGTACATTTTAGGTACACATAGTAACCAGATAACTATGTTTTATGCATACTCCGAGTATAGTCCAAGTAAACTAAAGAAAGTAAATTTATACATTTATCAGTGCATCAGACTAAATGTACCTACGTTTTCTTTGCAATATAGCACCAATAAAAATTCTATAAGATAGCACAGACTTGCTTAACCTTTTGTATGCATGTATGACTTTCGTATTGTTGTATGGAATCTCGGCATACGACTGCTTAACCCCTTGAATATCAATGAGAAGAAGGACAAAGAAGCAAAATCTCAAATGTTGCTCGTCTGTGCAACTTTACCTTGTTCTCCCTCAGGTTCAAAAACCTCAACGAGTCGAGTTTGTTCAGCATGAACTTGGATATCATCGTCAGATTGTTCTCGGACAAGTCCAGGCTCTGCAGACTGTTCTCCAGGCCAGCGAACGCTGCGGGAGACAGGTCCCAGATGCCACAGTCGCGGAGAGAGAGGATCTTGATTTTGGCATTGCGAAATGCATCTTCCTGTAAAGAGTATAAAGCTTATTTTCAATTAAGGTACAAATTATTAAACACATACTTACCCCCTTATCACAAAAAAATAAACTCGCGTTGATCACCATTTAGTGTGAAAATATAATTATAAACCGTGTTGATCGTGTGTTTAACGTTTTTGTAATAAGTCATATTTTATAATGTCGTGTACTACAAAATTCCTTGATTGTTAAAAAACTTAGATGCTGTTTTTGCGTCACGGAAAATCACCAGTTGCTAATAATTTTCCGACAGTTAAATTTTTAATGATAATGATATAACAAAATAGTACCTACATAATTTATCTTCACATTTATTTAATCACATAAAACTATTCCTTACCCTTAGAACATGAATTGGATTCCCATCCAAAGAAGTGGAATTTAATACTTGAAAGTTTTTGAAAGATCCTGGGTGAAGTTCTGTAATGACATTGTTGTCCAACCTGAAAAAATAAAAAAGAACAATAAATGTATCATCTTGGGTAAAATAAATGACATTTTCGGTTAGTTATCACTGTGGAAAGTGGTAATGAAAATTAATGTGACATGGGAATTGCTACGTGAAAAATAAATATGCGAAAACAAAAGACGTTCGCTAAAGTCTTTTAATTTTTTTTAAAAGGATTCTTAGCGGCCAGTGCGCGCTGTCGAAAACTCGAAAGAGGGTGAAACTTTTTTTTAATGATCAATTGGTAAATTACAGACTCTGTTTTGGTGTAATTAAATTAAGCCTTATTTCTCCACATACGCACACTTCTACCACACAACTTTATCTTGAAAAGTGTAACTACTTAACTATAATCTAAAAGAAGAAAGTTCGGTTTGCTTTAACTTAGTAACTAGATAGTATTCAAGTTCTTCAACGCGGTTTATACCGGAGACACACAGAGACATGATGATGCTACTTACTTCAGTATATCCAGAGACAGCCTGGTGGGAGTCTCATGCACAGGAGGCACTTGTTTGATCACGTTGTTTGACAGGTCCAGCACTCGTAGTTGCCTTAGTGGCGATACTTCCTCGTAGGGAATGAAGGTCAACTGATTGTCGCCAAGTAGCAACTGAAAAAAAAAGAGATTTAATATTAGAGTAATTTTGTTTTGAGATTCTTATGCTGTTGATAAATAGGTATCCTAGAATTTTTATTGAAGAAAATGAGAAATTGATAATTATTTTTACTGTACTTCAATTGTTGTGAGATATTTTCAAATAACTAACTATGTATTATCTAGCAATAAATAATTGAATTGCTTTTGCTTTGAAACGCAGGGATTTTAAGTATCTACTAATTACCTAATTTGTTTATCCAGTTACCGCAGAATTCTTCCCTTGATGAGACAAATTAAACGAACTTTATGTTGATAAATTTTACAAATATAACAACCAAATACTAACCTTGTTGAGCCTGTTCATGCCATCCCTAAACACGCCTCCGTCGACAGACGCCAGGTGGTTCCCTCGAAGGTCGAGCGTCTCCAGCATGAGAAGACTTGAGAACGCATCGATGGGCAGGTTAGCTATCGAATTGTCTGCTAGGATCAGGGTCTGTAGCGTGCCCAGGCTCCAGTCGTTGCTAGATATGTCTGTTATTTCGTTACCTGGAATGTAGTAAATAGTTTCTGTTAGCAATACTATTTTTTAAAATAGGATAAAAGAATTACGAATCTGTTAGCGACAGTAATTATTTTCGTAATTATGTCATTACTTATTAATATAAAAAAACTCTTACAAAACTTGTAAAACAGCATTCCTGTTAGGACACTCATCACTCACATCATAACACACAACGTGATAGGTGAGAGTTTCTGTTTAAGGAATGTGTAAGTAATAAAAACCAGCTACGATATCAGAACTATGAATTGTGAAATCTCCAGATCTTCAAAACATCTCGTTTTTCCCATTACCACTATACCAGTAAAGATGGTTAAAATAAGTATCCAGTTACTCAAGCGGAAAGGTGCCTATATTCTCAAACATCTGCCACACAACCGTAGCACTGTGGTATCAAACTACCAGACTGAGGGCTGATATTTCAATCATTAGATAACTAAATATGTCACAATGACAAGTTTATTCTTCTAAAGCCCGGTCTGTGAGCACGTAGAATTTTGTCCAATGACCCCAAGCTACCCATCCTTATCGCTCGCGCGTAAGACGATAAAAAAATCAGCCCTGAAAGAAATAAAACACAACCGCTTTAGTGCACTCTAAAGATATAATATGTGACGTACCAGTTAAATCCAAAAGCCTGAGCTTCCCGAGGTTCCTGAGCGACTTGCTGGGCACCGTCGTGAGCCCGTCGTACCTCAGCTCCAGCTCCCACAGCGTCGTCTCCAGCCCGTAGAAGGCGTCCTCGTGGATCGTCTCCAGGGGGTTCTGATTTATTGCTAGCCTGTACATTCCTGGAAAATATTTTAAAATCGTATTATACTCGTACTAACTGACTGTCATGTTGGATGTCCTAAATAAATAAAATAGCCTCTTGAAATGAAGCTGCTACGTACAGCTAAAAGAATCAGTTGTCAAGTAAATGTAGAGTCACGTCAGAAGCCTTTGGGCTAGTGCCCAACTAATTAGTTTACTAACCATAATAACTTAGCCTTTTTTTAATACCGTTAACCCCTTGTGGTAAGCTAAATGCGCTTGTGTTACCACTCGTAACATCCCAACACTCGTTTATCACAATAGTCGACGGCAAGGATCGAACCGCATTCCTAGGATCACGAGTCGGCCAGTCCGACACCTTCATCGATCAGCTATCGTAGTTACTAGGGTAGAGCCGAAATTCTAGGAGAATGAGAAGAGCCTACAATCTGATAATGCTTATACAAGACTGCCAGGAACAGTCCAACTAATGCTGACAAAGTACCTATAAAGCTGGAGGGTAACAAGCCAGTGGTCAGCGTGAAGTTCCAAGCTCGTAGTCAAATATATCACAACATGGCACCATGCTATTATTCTATTTGGAAATCCAAAAATAAACTACCAACCTGTAGCTTGAAAGAACTTTGGTTCCAATTCCCTTATCCTGTTCCCCGTGAGCTGAAGAGTGAAGACCTTGGAGCTGTTCAGGGTAGCAGGCACCCTCAGTAGGGGTACATGACGGCAGGTCACTATGCCCAGGTCGCCAGCTGGCTTGGAGCAGGTACACAGCGCTTGGAAGAGGCATGATGGGTGACCGGTGTCTACGTGGAGCTGAAAAGATAATAAAACGGGCTATTAAGTTGTGTTTTCAAAATTTTGTAGATGAGGGATGTGTTTTCTGATAGGTAACAGAGTTTGCCTACTGTTAAACGGACGACTCACTGTCGTGAAATGTTTTTTGTTGTCAAATCTTAAATCAGTCTACTCGTATGTAAGCCATCAGAGGTGTTTCAGACTTAGTTCAATTTTACAATGTAGCCAGGATGCGGAATAATGTTTTTTTTTTAGGTAATCAGGTTGATCCAAGCTTTAATGTCCTAACCAAACTGCGGATAGAATCCTACTTTCTAACTACATACCTATCCATCCACAAATTAATTAATAGATCTTGTTCAAACGACAGTACTAATCCGACTTTTTAACAATATGTTGATGAATGGAACCTGTCAGATTATGTAAAACGTGAAACAAGTCCGCGCGGAAACAAGGGTCGTATATATGAAATATGCGTGTACTTGCCTCACACGTGGCATAAAGTATGCGTGCGATCCACAAACGGTAAATTTATAATGTATTGAGTTATGAAGTGCGTGCCTGGCTTTCGTTATGAGCTCCCGCTTTCGGAAACTAGCTGTGCCCGCGAGTTCGTCCGCGTGAAAATAGTTTGAATATTAGGTATCTCCCGTTTTTGCAACATCTTTCGGCTTATTTCTATAGGTCCACAGCTCTATTGCTTTCAAAAATTTCAAGTTCATACTTTAATTCCCAACGGGTTCACGAGTTAGACGACATTAAAAAAAGTATTTATCTTAGTTTATTTTAATCTATTATGGACTCGGTGGGAAAAGAAGAACTATAGAGTCGTGGACCTTTAGGAATAAGCACATTTTCTTTACTGCTCCGCGCCTATTGGCTCTAGGGTGATGTTAAGCCTAGCCTAAACGTTTTCTGGATAAATGGACTATCCAACACAAAATACTTTTTCCAATCGGACCAGTAGTTCCTGAGATTAGCGCGTTCAAGCAAACAAACAAACTCTTCAGCTTCATAATATTGGTATACTCGTAGATATGGTTATATTTGGAATCGTGCCAACACTCATTGGTTACATAACAGGTAAAATTAATTGGTTACCCATTGTGTGTAACGCATACCTATTAGAAATCGTTTCGACATTCGAGTTAATGGTTTATTAGTTAGATTTCTTCCCTTTGTATTGTACTGCGCAAATACAACGACTTCCCCATCAGGTAAATATTAAATGTTGTCGTTTTATTAGACAATTAACAGAATAAAGGACAGAAATAACACGGGTTCTCAACATTTACTTTTATAATTCATTCTCGTACTTAAAGCAAATGTGTAAGTTGGTAATTAACATACTTAACTAGCGATACTTTAACAGTTGGTCTAATAACATTAGGCCACTTTTTAAGCTGTAAAATAAGTAGGATCAATTCTTCAGATCAGTTCCTTTCTATTTATTTAATAATGATATTATTATGGTAGGTCCATAATTGTTTTTCTATTCTATTCAAATTAAATGATATGACGTAGACATATTTTAAACCAACAGGATTTAAAATATTTTTTATCCTCAAACCATTCAAGCAGTCAAAGTAAAGGAACCATTCCTTAAAGGCTTTGCAGGTAAAACAACCTTCTTTTTTCATCCGATTTGAAAGAGTTACTTAAAAGACCCAACTTTTGTTTTTAAAGATAGCAAACATTCCTGAAAGCGAAACTTGTGTGTACTTAACTTAAAACGAGTAGTTTCCCCAACTGTGTGTAAGTTTATGTACTCTTATATTGGAGTGCCGTAGCACGTAACTGAAATCGAGAGCGTTTCAGTGCGTCTGAAAAGAACCCCAAATCCTTTTATGGATTGCGTAAGCGTAACGTAGTAGTTTGTTGTAGGTATACCTGGTTACTCACAGTCTCTCACAGTACAGTCAATAGCATACCAGACATTTTTTGTTGCAATCTCAACCCTATTACAACTACATATATAAAAACCAGTTTCACAGTGTTTAGCTTCAAATGCTGGCATCGGTACTACACTTTTCTCATTGTGATAGCTGAAGATTCAGCGTGTTATTTCGATTAGTTTACGCTTAATTACTACAGAATAAATTAAACAACTACGTTCTGTTTATCTTTGTGCCTTTGTAAATAAACTTCACCTCTATGAGGTAAACAGGAGTAGGTAAGCCCACTTGAGCGTGAAACGTGGCTTTAGGCCTACGCTTCAAGCTTAACTTTATAAGCCTACATGAAAATGAAATAATTAGGTTTATCACGCAGAAATGTCACGTGTCACTGACCGTGTACGTGACGATGTCTGACCTTCGCTTTATTAACTTCGCAGTATGATTCTGAGAAGTATATTTATGCCAATCTTCATGAATGTATGTGAACAATCAATAAGCATTTACTGTCTGGAAATACCTACGAATACAGACGACATTATTATTTTGCAGCAAAAATGTAGACCGATGTGATCTTGGACTACATTTTTTAATAAAATGGCGAACAGGTAGCGAAGATGATGATGATTTCTTTAAGCAATATCCGTGTGTAGGCTTAGATGTAAGTCTTTAAAAATAGCATCTTTGCGGTTTCACTGAAATAATTGCTAAGAAAGTGTTAATTGTGATTGATTATACTTTTATTTTCGTCACAACGGTTCTCGGAACTAACTTCTCTGGTATTGGAAAAATATATCACGGGTTATTGAAGAATCACCGCTGAAAACGGCAAGTGTTTTAAATGGCTGCATTGTGATTAAACTTATCATAATAATAGTAATGGTGGACGGATTAGCAAGCTAAAGTGGCAATGAGCAGGGCACATAGTACGGAGAACTGACGGCCGATGGGGCAGCAAGGTTTTGGTTTGGAGTGGAGGCCGCGTACCGGAAAACGCAGCGTGGGACGTTCACCCACAAGGTGGACTCTGCCAACCGGGCAGCATGGAAAGCATTGGGGGTGGCCCATGTTCAGCAGTGGACGTTCTATGGCTGAGATGATGATGATGAGTAATGGTGATATGATTTGGGTACTCACTTCGAGAGCTCTCGACAGGGAGGCCCATATCATGAGCAGGAGCGTCACCACTACTAGCGCGTAGCCGAACTTGATGAACGACATTAAACTCTGAAACAAAACAATAAACACATTAAAACTCACACAAAAGGAAGAAAATTCTTCAGAATCACTTTTTAAGCCTAGGGGCAGACCGCCAACTTTTAGTTGGTCGATAGTTGGGCTCGATTCTAATTTGTATGAAGAATCAATCCGCGTAATGTGCGCACTTCCTTACATACCCATACTGATTAACTGTACGACTACACTATCGGCTAACAAAAAGTCTGCAGTTTGCGCCTAGGCTAAGAGGTATTACTAATAGAAAATATCTTCACTGAAAGCTTTAATATATTTTTGTGTGCGAATAAACTAAATATTGTAATTAAGGTTCAACATTTTATTATGTTGATGGATCACTCCTTAATTGAACTTACAAATATAATCCCTGTGTTTACTGCTACATAAGATTAAAGTCAACAAAATAAGCTGACATTTTTGACATGACTATCGTTGTTGGATAAAAGCTTTTCAAGCTCTAAGAAAAGCTTTCCAAACATCTTTTTTTGTTAACATAATTTTGACTTATTATTTACTTTGTATCGTGAACATGACTATTCAATATCTATTATAACTTACTCTAAACATAAAACTGATCTCTACGAAGTCAAGTGCATTGAAGCAAGTGTGATATTTAATTTCCCGAGATGGTATCAGTGTCTATTTTTAGAGGAAAGTGGGGGACGTCGGAAAGTATCGGGGAACGTCTTTTCTATGCCACTGAGCAGTCACCGCAAGCGATTAGAGGAATGAGTCACACATCGGGGTCACCCCTAAAGAAAAAAGAAACAAGGACATTGAAGCTACAAAATACAAGCAAATAAAGTTTTTATCTCATGGATATGCGGTGTATTTTGCAGTGAATCCAGTATAAAATGCACACCGAAATTAAGAAGCCCAGATAGTCGTTAAAAATGCAGTACAGGTCACCTATTTAAGAGTTTATGGATTTTCATTGGCTTTGTGCTAGAACTTTAAGTTAATCCCGTCTGGAAACAGGACAATTAAAGAACGTAGTAATATGGTATTTGGCCTCTTTCGGCCTAGAATGGGGTTTGGTTCTCAGTGGTAGCACAATATAAAAAAATTGCAGTGAACGTAAATAAGCATGGTTGTTCGTTCGTTAAGAAGGAAGGATCTGGTTTCGGAGAATCTGTTTGGAAATGTATAAAAGTGATAAGTATTTGAATTTATTTACTTCAATTGATTAAATCTAAAGTCTACGTCTAGAGCAGTAAGAGTTCTAGAGTCGTATTGAGCATAATTTTCATTTATTTGAACTTTTTTTCCGTAACATTGTGTATTTGTCTCTATCTGTTCTATGCACAGTCCAAAACGAATAAGCATTGTCTTTGTGCCATCTAACCCACAAGGTGGACTTTTATACAACATTAACCGTATAATGTCGCTATTAAGCTTAATGGTACTGCGTTGCCTCTGAACGACTACAAACCGTTAGCTAAAAAGGCTCAGGTAAATAATGCAAGGTAAAATCCGAAATAGTCTAATCAAAAGAAACAATTGTTTAATATCGTTTGTAGGTACATGAAATGTTTACTTTTAGATAAAACTTTGTATTTTAAGCTGAGTTGCACCACCTTAATTTAACGGTAACAATTAACTTAATTTAACCTTAACCTCTAAAATCTTCATAGATTTTTTTGGCGTACTCGCTAGCGAGCACACCTAACGTAAACTCATGGTAAACACTCTTCGAGTCCGAAGTGAAATAATAAATATTAGTGTGTCAACTACCTAACCGTTGGTCAAATTATCAAAATCATAAAAAAGCTATCATGTTCATACGCTATCAAGGGATCTCTAAACTAGATCATCGTTTCGTCAGAATCTTTCAGCTTGTCAAAGCTAAAAGATTGCGCTCCACTTCTGAAGATCGTTCGACTGAAATACACATTACTCACTTTCATCACCGATTTTAATTGTACGCTATTTCGCTGCATTTGCACCGTTATTTCCGTCAACGGAAATTCACATGAAAACCCCCATTAGACCAAACCGAACTTTAACTCCACAGCGTTAAACCCAAAATCAATCCGCAACTGTATTTCTACACGAGATGAATGTAGTATATGGAAAATTCAGACTGCGGTCGCAATAATTTCTCCTTCCCTGGGGCATCTACTGAAAACAAATAAGTGTTTCAGTACACAGATAATATAACACCGTTTTATGGTTCGCCGCAATATCCGATCGTAGAGGTAGTGAAGGTGTGCTCTGATTTTTATTCGAAGTGGAATCGAAAGTCATACTCGTGAATGTAATTTTTATATCGATTTCTGGCGTAGCTACCTTCTTTCTTTCTTCTTTCTTTCTTCTTTCTTTTCAGCCAAATGACGTCCACTGCTGGACAAAGGCCTCCCCCAAGGTTTTCCACAATTAACGGTCCTGCGCTGCCCGCATCCAGGCTCTTCCCGCGACCTTTACCAGATCGTCGGTCCACCTAGTAGGAGGCCTGCCCACGCTACGTCTTCCAGCCCGTGGTCGCCACTCGAGAACTTTCCTGCCCCAACGGCCATCGTCTCTACGAGCTATGTGCCCCGCCCACTGCCACTTGATTTTAGCAATTCTGCGAGCTACCTACCTAGCTACCTACCTATCACATAATAATATCATAGGTGTTCGATATTCTTTATCATAAGCATAAATAAGTTGAGACCTGTGTTTCTCTATTTTGCACAGTACAAACATTTGTGTGCATGAACATATTTGTTTGATTTGGACTGGGTGTTTTCCATGTATAATAAGTATGTATTTACAAAAAAAAAATTAAGTATGTTTATATCCATTGTCTATTACCCATAGTACTAGCTTTGCTTAGTTTGGGACTAGAAGCGCAGTTTAAAATGTCCAAGGATATTTATTTATTATTTTAATTGAAATGGAACATGACAGCTTAAACTCTTATAGTATAAATAAGGATAAAATTAAAACTCTCTGGACTCTGACTAAAAAGCAATCTAAATATAACTCAAAGGTGACTGACTGATTGACTGACTGACATAGTGATCTATCAACGCACAGCCCAAACCACTGGACGGATCGGGCTGAAATTTGGCATGCAGGTAGATGTTATGACGTAGGCATGAGCTAAGAAAGGATTTTACGAAACTCCACAGGCCGCTCGTTATACATAAGAATGTCTAATACAATATAGGTTCCACTGTCTGTGTGTAGGCCTAAACACTTTTGATTGATCCATAAAGACGGATGTAGGTCCACCTTTTGTCACAATAAAACTTGAAGAGGGTGCGATAGGGATGAAAAATGTTATAATGGAGACGCAAAAAGATAGGGCTTTCAGTTTCGTTTAGTTTTGTTTACTACTTTATGATGTGATTTTCTTTGAGAGAACGAAAATAACATTAACATTCTATTTAACACGATATGATTTGCGTCTTCATGTTCATTTAGTTTAATTATTTGTTTTAGTTTTTTTTCTGTACTGCATTAATTGTCTGTTATACAAATAATTAGCACATGCAAAGTCGCGGGAAAAAACTAGTCTAAATAGTAATTTGGGTTAGTGACCTTTCAACATTGTGTTAGTTTAGTAAAGAGAAACAGCGCACTGTAATGGTTTACGTCGAAATCGTTTAATGTCAGTCAATGTAGAGTCAATATAATTTTTATGGGCGTCGTTTAACTAAAATAATAGCCTGCTTTGCTTAGCATTGCAACAGTTAGGTTAAATCGATTAAGAAGCATATTGAAAAGTCCATTCCTTAAAGATTCGTCGTAGTCGGCCAAAAATAATTTTTGGCTAATAAATTCCAATAATTATTATCTACCAAACTTTTTATTTTTTCACATTCAGCTTATTACCTTTCTTATCACCGACTTGTAAACATTCAAGTACAGTTAGCATGTAAATAAGTGTATCATCACTATCATAATTTGGACAGACTACTTGTAATTTATTTTTACCATTAAAATCCGATTTGACCTAAATACGTCACCATCAATTATAATTGCCTGTACAAGTTGTCAATCCGCAAATAAAGGCGATTTATTGAAAGGAACGAGATTATTGATTTGACGAAAATAGGTCGTTAGGAAGGAACCTTCATCCCTTGGATTAGAATTAATTATTATGGGTGTTAATTGGGACAGCAAAAGTGCTCGCGCTCCTGGACGAAGGGTCCACCGTCACGCTGCTGGACTCATCAGTGGCGAAGAAGATTGGGGCGCAAGGGAAGCCGGAAGCCATCACCATCGAGATGGTCGGGGGGAACGGAATGGTGAAAAGCAACTCTCAGAAGATCAACATGAAGATCAAGGGGGTCCATTGTAGAAATAAACTCAACATAGAAGCGAGAACTATCGACAACTTGAAGCTGACGAAGCAAGGTGTCGAAGAAGGAATGCTTCAAAACTGGAAACACCTGAAGAAAATTAAGAAGAAGCTGGTCTACGACAAAGAAGTACCTAGACTTCTGATTGGGCAAGACAATTGGGGGCTGATAGTCACACGGAGACTACGCAGAGGGAAGGCCTCCGAACCAGTTGCCTCTTTGACCAGCCTTGGATGGGTCCTGCATGGATGCAACACTGGAGGAAGTGATCCAGTGAAGTTAGTGCACCACAGCAGACCAGTAGAAGATGAAACGGAAGCCTTGGTTCACCGACACTTCGAGAAAGAGGACATCGGAGTGGAACCACGTCGGCCATGCATCGACGCCGACAAACGGGCTCGCAGTGTCCTGGAGAAGACCAACAGAGGGCATCAGGCGCACCAGCGTCCCATTAAGAAGAAGTTGGACAAGAAGAAAGATCGCTTCGTGATGAAGGATGAATACAGCGGAGAAGAGAAGAATTCTGAAGTTGTTGCCACAGTAAAGTTCATCGACCTGCTGAAGAAGAGGGTAGCAGGAAGAAGAAGTGCCCACATAGTCAGGCACCGAAGATGGAAGACGCCGAGTCAAGCCCCACGGGAGAAGAAGGAAGAGAAGATCTTCTTGCCGCTGGAAGACGAGCACATTCATAGGGCAGAAGAA